AAACATATAGCCATAAAATATAAGAATAAATATCACAAGTGCTTTATAGTCGTACAACAATAACTTCAAATAAATTAAACTAGATTCCATTTCAAAATTATTTCCCTTCAGTGTATAAAACGATGAAAAAGTTGAAGGCAAAGTAGCTTTCACAGTTGTGGATTTTGAAAAAATGTTTCGAATTTCTTTGGAACTGCATCCTAATGTTTCGCCAGCACGAGTGGCTGGCTTCTTTAGAATTCTAGTCATCCTGATGGTTCACCAATGACTCGTGATTTCTAGGTCGTACGCTGTATTTATGTTGACACAGGTAGCCTGCCTTTCTAGTTGGTGCGTCAACATAAATACAGCTTACGAACTAGAAACCAAGAGTCATCGGTAAACTATCAGAATGAATAGACCTCTGAAGAAGCCAGCCATTCATTCTGGCGAAACGTTAGGATACAGTTCCAAACCACGATGGCCTTCAAACCCGAACGAAGTTCATAAATCTTGGCCGCGAAAGCCTTAATCAATTTTGCAATGTTACCAGTAAATATTCTTTGAGTGAATGTTTGTTGCTTCTTTCCACACTATGAAAAAATAATCAAAGCTAAATTAATGATCTGCTGAAGTGTTGTAAAGAACAAACTGGAAAGTTAAATTTGGTTAATTTTTTTTTAATTTGAAACATGTCTGACAAAGTTGGTTAAAATTGAAGTAAAACACCATATTAATATATTTGCATTTTATTCAACAAAGGTAAATTTCTCAACAAAATGTAAATTCATCTAAAAGACAACAATAATCCTTAATACAACTGGAATACATTAAGTAATCAACAAAAAACAATTTCATTGGGTTTGATAGTTAACATAGTTGTTAAAATTTGTTCATCAGCTGGAAGAAATGCCACAGAATATTCTCAACTCCTCTCGAGTTGAAATCATTTCAAATATGATTATGAAAAAGAAAATTTTTATTTGTTTTGAAACAAATTTTAAAAACTAAATTCAAATATGTCATTTTTCACATCAACAAATGTGAGTTGAAACTCAGTCTATATCAATTCCACAATGAAATAAGTCATTTAAATAAAATCTGTTCTGAAATTACAATTTATTCTTTAGTTTCAACCATTCCAAGACTAGAGGTGTGAAATAGGAAATGATCACATCTGCACCTGAAACAAAATAATTCAATATGTATAGGATAACGTTCAGATATAAACATTGTTAAAAATATCATTAAAGTTACAACAAAAATAATCCCGCAAAAATGAGATAATGATGGAAAAACTTTCAAAGGAAGGAAAAAAGCAGTCAAGTTGTAAAGAAATTACTATTTTCGCATATAAAACCTATTTATCTAGGAGTAGTTTATTGGGTTTTGCGTTTTGAACAGATCAACTGTATCTAAGTTGATTTTGGGTATGAAAACGAAATAATTCAGGGGAGTGTTGGAAATTCGAAATGCTCATTAGTTCTGCTCCGCGAATGGTAAAAACCTCTTGGATAATTCCTGGCAATCCCGACCGTTATTCATAGCACCTGCGATAGTTTAACGATGACATAAAATTCTATGAATGCATGAGAAAAAAACTAATATGAGACTGTAAGAGACAAATGAAAAGCAGTTATTATTTTGAAAAATACCAAGCAGCTCTAAAATACCAGAATGTTAAACCTCCTGATATTATTAATAACATACACATAAAAAGACAATTCATAAAATAAGCTGAATAGAATTTCGGGAATACCTGATCAAAATTTACCTCTCAATTGACTTATTTTTTCCAAGTCCATACTTATCTGGTGTTAGTTCATCACCAAAGTTTATTATTAGATTGTATACAGCTCCTCCAAAACTTTAGGAAATGAGAAAGATTATGATATTTGACAGTAATTATCCAAAGCTTGTTTATTTTCTTTTTTGAAAATAAAAATACAATTCTATTTCCATAAGTTCTGGTAATATTCCAATTTGTGTAGACATATTCAGAAGAAAAGCTAGGGCCCCGCATTACTGTGACAAAGCTTTCTATGACGAAAAGGTTCCTAAAATCCCCCAAAGGTTACTTTAGTAATATTGAGTGAGTCACATTTTTTTGGCATGGATACACGGGATTAGATGCCATTTAGGATGACTCTTACCACCATAGATTACACCTCACGTGGCCCCCTGCAGCAGGGGACGTTATAGAATTAGAAGTATCTTCAATAAATAATATAAAACAAAGTCGCTTCTCGCTGTCTGTCCTTACATATGCTTAAATCTTGAAAGTATGTAACGGATTTTGATGCAGGTTTTTTAATAGATTCAAGAGAAAGGTTCATTGCCTAATATAGTGGATGAACATTGATAATTCCAGAGGTTCCTAATGTGATGTTGTGAGTGAACATATTTTTTTTTACACTGGCTGAACCCTTGGAGATAGATCAAAAAATGTACTACAGTATTGTACACCACACTAACCATTTTTTATCCTCGAGAAATAGCTTATTTAAGAAGCAATGTGCATTATCCAACTAGCGTGCTGGGCCGGCTTGCTATTTGGAAAATAAAACATACTTTACAATTACTATATGAATACTTGGTAACTCAAGCCCTCACCTGCCCTTCTTAAAGATCCCATTATTTCCATCAAAGCTGGTTTGAGGTCAAACGCACCTCCCTGGGCTGCATTATATATCATGGCATATTCACCAGAAACTTGGTAGACAAACATAGGATATTCAGGGTATTTGTCTTTTATCTGCTTCAGAATATCCATGTAGGCCATAACTGGTTTTATCATAAGCATGTCAGCACCCTCTGAAACATCTCGGTCAGCAGCCCTCAAAGCCATCCCAGAACTGTTGTGTGGCAGCTGGTAACACTTCCTATCGCCAAAGGAAGGTTTCGATTTTGCTGCATCCCTTGAAAAGTGAAAAACAAAAGTGATTCATGTATACAGTACAGTCTAATTTGAGATTTTTTTCCAGTTTGATTTTATAAAGCCTAAAAGAGAATCATGAGAAAATGCCAGTTTTATCTAAATCCTGTAATGAAAAAAATACTAGGTAAGTTTTTTTTTGGAAATTTTAACATTACCCAAATTCAAGTCGATGTGTAGGGACCTCGTAAATGGCAACAGATAAAGAGCCAAATAAATTGTGGCAAAGTTCTTTATTTTCATGTACTATTGAAAGATACAGAAAAATCAGTCCAGAAGTTAGTTAATTCCCTTTGTTGGAGAAAATGGTACTCTCAGGGAGGGGGGTTGCTTGCACTATCCAAGTATAGAAGACAATCACAAACATCCAACCACCTTACCCCGTCAGAAGTTCAACTGATTTAATCATCAAAAATATTCATAAGCCGTTCGTGCATTCAGGATTGCATTCTGAATTAATTTCTCAATAATCATCTATCACATATTTTGTGACACCCAGTACATGAAGTTCCCTGCATGTGGTCAGAAACTGGTTGAATTCCTATCAGTACTCTCTCGATTTTCGACAGAACAACCTAAAATACCGGCAAGGAAAAGACCTGTGAAAACCGATTTAATATTGTCTCTCAATAACGATCAATAATCCCCAGGACTGGGGATTATTGATCGTGGTTAGGTGGTTGCAACCCCTACAACTGGGAGAAAAAGTTGTAAAGTAAAACCTATTACATGACTGACAATAGGGAAACATCCAGACCCTAATTATCAATATTATCCCCTCTTTCTGTAAATGGTGATACCATTAGTAGATCAATAATTAAACACATTTATAACATGTTTTTGATCTGGGTCACCCCAGGATAATACCAGCTAAAATACAAGTTGAATAAATAGAGAGTAATATGTAGTGGGTGTTAGAAATAACCATTAACATTTATTAATTTTTCAATAATTATTCATATTTCTTATTTTTTTTAAACCCTTTGTAGAACCTAATTGGAGCATTTCAATTTTAATCGTTCAATGTTATTATTCATCCTGTATATATAAAAATCTCATCTGACAGGAGAAAGTTGTTTAGTAAAAAACGTCAAATTGAAAGAAAGAAATTAATATTGAAATTCTCTTAAGATTTGTTTGAATTAGGGACAATCGTAAGTTGAATAATGTTTGTTTGAATTGTTCATTTTCTTATTTGCGTTCTTTTCAGGAATTTGAGTATATAGAGATATACATTATACATTGTTATGTGTATAAAGGTGCCCTGTTGAATAAAATTATTTGCTAGTAAAACTAGTTACAGTGGTTTATTGATATATACTGCAAATTGGTCTCTCAATAACCTATTCAAACTAAGTAATCTCAACAGTGGGACAACTTTTTGACCAACTACATCTCTTCTTTTCCAGATAGTGAATTGAAATGTTTTAACCAGCTCAAGTAACTATATAACTGGTTACATTTTGAAATTTGAAATTGATAGAAGATGGTGGAGGACCGATTACTCAATATGGAAAAGAGAAATCCTGAATATAATAATCTTCAAATGTATAAGAAATCACCAAGAAACAATATATTGTGCCAATGAAAATGTTCCTTACCTAAATGGTCCATAGAAATTTGAAGCAAACTTTGCAGTGTAGGATAAAACAGCAACCTTATTACCAAGATTATTATTTACTAATTTTGTCTTAATTGCTCCAATCCTACCGTCCATCATGTCAGAGGGAGCAACAATGTGAGCGCCTGAAAATATAATAGCTGAATGTTTCTTACATTTATAATATCAAAAGTTTCTTGCTAAAAGCTCAACAATAGACATTTCACAGTATAGAAAAAGTATACTTCATATACTTGATCCATCAAGAAAAAATCAGGAACGCTCTGTTTTTTATTTAATAAATAAACTAATATTTCTACAAATGTTACACACAAGCTAGAGTTGTTACATTTGTTCAAGTGTCCATTTTAGGAAATATGATTCAATTGTGAATACCAGGTATTTACAAATTCATAAGATTAAAGACTGCAAATTGTTTATGCAGTTATACCATGCAATAAATCCAACATAGACTGTGGTGCCGTCATATATGCAAGTGCACAGAAACCATTGAATACATAAGACTGCATCAGAATCTCTTTTGGAGAGGAGATTGTTTACCAATACATTAGAGAACATATATGATGGAACCAATGAGAACCCACCTCTAGAAGTAAGACGAAACTATCGAAGTCTAAAATATACTAAAGAACTCGATCATACCAATAATTCATATGAGCAAAAGCCACATATATCTTATCTTTTTCACATCAGAATCCACAGAATGTATGTTACCCCCAACTTCCACACAGCTTATTTCATTCAACCAATCTTCTCACTTCCACGGAATACCTGTCTGCAACCCTTCAACAAAAACATTACCCCCAAATATGCCAACTTGAATCATATCTATGAAGATGCTTCTAAAACAGTGTATGACCAAAAAAGTGGTGTAGTCATAAATAAACATGGTCAATGTTACAATCTACAATGCACTTGTAGCATATATGCTGGAGAGGGCTATGAATCATGTCAAACATAGTTCAACGCATTTTGTCTTTGCTCTGCTACCAGGAAGAACGATAGCTGCTGAGCATCAGTGAAAGCATAAGGTGTACTATTGATAACAATATAGAAAAAACTATACAAATAAGCATTGAATCAAATTGAAATTCATATATTTATAATATTGTAATGTACCTCCCAAAAATCCTGTATGATTGAAATTAAAAATGATTTACAAAAACTTTAATTAGGATAGTTTACTTCATTTCTTTTACCTGCTTTTGCATAAGATAAAGCAATGTCAGATATCCTTTCCAAGCTTGCAGAATTATCAATTCGTCCATCAGGAGCTAATATGGCACAATGTCCATGAGAAGTGTAAGGACATAAGCATACATCACAAGCAATTGTTAAATCCGGAAACCACTTTCTCAGTTTTGGAATAGCTCTTATCACAGGATTGTCTTTATCATCTGCACTGGTTGCAGTGTCATTCTTAAAATAACAAAACCTTATTTCAGTTTATTAATTATATTATAACTTCAATTCCTAGGTGAGAGTGGAATCGCCTGATAACAAAATCATTTTGACACCAGATTTTTTTTACATTTTATGTTTTCTATATGAATTTCAATTATTCATCCGTAAAGTAATGAGGATTTTTGGTTGAAAAAAAGATAACGTTTTATTTTGGAGTTTGATGGGTGGTTTCAGCATAAAACCACTAGGCAAAGAAGCCACATTTCGAAAAAGGGATATTTTACTAAATAACATCAATTTCTGTGTTCCAATTCTAATAAAAAATCTTCGAGTATTTAGTTACTAGTTATTTTTTAAGAAAACTTAAAACAACCCTACTGAGGACAAGAAACGAATAGTGCCAATGAATTCGAAACTTCTCATTTCCCACAGTAGAATCCATATCCCCAGGAGCGTAAGGCCACAATTCTCATTATTATTATCATTATTCATTGGAACTACTCACTTTAGGGAGAATATCGATAATACCAAATAATAAAACTGACTTTAGACCATTTTCCACTATTTTCTCCAGATGATCCCTCAATTTATTTATCCCGAATCTATTTATGCCAGGCATACTAGAGATGGGTTGAATTTCATCATCCTTTTCACTGAAAAATATGAATGTTCAAAACCACAATTATATTGCACAATAGTATAACCTCACATAATGAAAACAGGATACATAAAATTACCAGTTGTTATTTGACTATTGCAACCCTGCCATTCCCTAAGGGTTGGATTCATAATTCCACTTTGCATAATATGCCTATTATTTACTTTGAATATTTTTTGATCGGTCATGGCGAAATACTGCTTGCAGTTTTAAATTTAAAAGAGAGCTGTTTAATGCTAAACTGATAAAAGTGCCACTCACTAGGTTTGTTTTGGTTCGCAATTCTGTACAGTTCGATCATGGGCAGTTATTAAAATGTGTTTTAGTTCAGTTTTAATCGTTCTAGTATCGTTCACAAAGTGTTTTGGTTTTCTCCGAACCGATTCGGAACTATTCCAGAACGGTAATTATTAGTTCGTACATTTGAGTAGGGACCGTTTAGAACTTCGAATTTGCTCTTGCGCACTAATAAAATTTTTCATTTGCGTTGTGGATTTTTTCCTTGTCTAAGATTTTGGTCTTTAACATTTTCTTAATCTCATTTTTATCCGTATTTTAGTTGGTGTTTCATTCATGGTATTTACGTACAATGTCTCCGGTAAAACAAAGAAACTCGGAGAATCATTGCGACCTGTTAATAAGACAAAATTATATATCAACATTATTCTTATATCATAACAGATAGACGTGAAATGTATGTAGCAATATTAATAATCATTATTATCATCACATCTTTTACAATTCCAAAAATTTATTCTTGGTATGTTTTTGTGAAACTCATTAGTATAAGATTACAAAGAGAGGACAATATATTTTCAATTCAATTTTTGATAACCGGAGATAACGTCTTAGTTAATTCCTGTTACTCTCATTTTTTCAAAAACATCATTACACTTCAATTATATATTTGCTTAACTTTTTCAGTCTTGTCTTTAAACTTAACTCAAAAGTCCAATAATCATTATACCAGATTAGAGGGACCTAACCTCCAATCTTTGTTTATACACTTGTCAGAATAATTTTTTTATATGTTTTGGTTTTTTACTTGTTGGGACCGTTCCAGAACTGTTCTGTGACTGTAATATTCTGCGCATTGATTCGGCGTCGATACGGGACGGTTAAATAACAATTCAAAATACCGAACCAAAACAAACCTACTGACTGAAGCTTGGTCTTTATAAGCTTTCTACTATGTCACAGACTATGACTGTGTTATAGTCCTCTTTGGGGAAATTGTAAAGTGTACTGAATTGCGTTCAAGTTTCAAGTACTGCATTGCGTATTGTCACGAAAAACCATATCAGTGATCTGTGAATCTATAATTATACCTGTGACAGAGACTATTTTTCGATTGAAACGTATATGAAACACGGTGTTCTATCGAAGTAGTAATAGTAGTAGTAATTGTTGATAAAATTGTACTAAATAGGCAAAAGAGATACTGCCGTATTGAATATCCTAGTGAATTGAATTCAGTACAACTGTACTGCACGTAACATTAACATTACTACAAAGTACAGAAATTTTATGTTGCATGGATGAGTTAATAGTAATACAAGTTAATAAATTTTCAACAGTGGCGGCGCAAGACCTAAATTTAAGGAGGGCAAGGTACATTTCGCGAGGCCCTCTGTTGTACAAGCTCAGAGTAATAATGGTGCAAGAAGAAGGGTTTATAGATTAAATTTAAATACTTAATATGTGTTATAGAATAAAAAAATACTAACCTAACCCAACCTGTAAAAAAATAATAACATTTGTTTTTTACTTGAGTATAATTAACTTATAAGAAGTGGACTTATTTCGTATGAATAAAAATTGGATCAATTCGCGAGTAACACCTAATAATAATACTTTGTATATTACCTACTTCACTACTTAACGTAATATATGTTTTATATAGGTACAATATAATACTCATAATTTTTAATTATGGAGTGTTTTGCAAAGAAAACTATAACAAAATATGAGTGTAAGTGAATTAAAGGGATTATATTTTTAGGAGTAATAATTTTTGGGAAAGAAAGTTTTTGGCTTTCTACTACTCCATCTTGATACAAAAAACAAGGATGAGGGAATCTTCCAAGGAACGGAAGGAAGTAATCAATTCACAAGTGGTACAG